CGGGCGTCCGCGGGTGACGAGACCCATCAGTTCCCCAGCCCCGCCGGCCCCCCCACCCCCCGGCATCACACGTGGACGCCCCCGGGCTTGGGGAAGACGTTGCTCCGAGGCTTGCAGACAACCGCCTGCCTGTCACCGGGTGGAGAAACCAGGCCTCAGGCAGGTAAGGTGGAAGGGGACCGCCCGGCAGGGCCGGCAGGCTGCGGACTAGGGGGTCACAGAATGATAGGCAGCGATCAGGAAGGGGAGGGGCCGAGGGCAGGGACCCCTCCCTAACTGGCACTCGGACAGTTCTGGGCCAGAGGGGGCCCTGCCTGCAGCATCTCTGGGAGGGAGGGACCCCAGCCCTTTCACCCGAGGAAGCGCCGATGGTTATATTCAAACCATGAACACGCCCCCAGAGTCATGCCAAGTCTCTAAGGAGAGGGTGCCAAAGATGTTTGGTCTGCTAGAGCCCAGAGAGAGCAGTGAAGTTCCACAATTCTGAACAGAGCAGGAAGAGCCCGGGATGTGGCTAAGCATCTTAGAGTCACGAGTGCCATCATCAGCCCCATTCACAATGAGGAAACTGAGGCACAGTGGTGACAGCCAGTGATCCGCTTGCTTAACAATCACCCTACAGTGACTCCAGTGATCTTGCCTCCTGGTATTTACACAAGTGTGTCGTGCCTTCCAGAAAGCCTGATGGTGTAGTAGTTAAGAGCTATGGCTGCCTGGCTACCACCAATGACCACCCTGATAGGAAACACAACAGAGAGTCCCTGATGGAGGAGCAAAAAGGTGGGGTGCAGAACTCAAATTCTAGTAAAAAGACCAGACTTAATGGTCTGACTGAGACTGGAAGAACCCCAGAAATCATGGCCCCTGGACTCTCTGTCAACCCAGAACTAAAACCATTCCTGAGGCCAACTCTTCAGACAAAGATTGGACTGGACTGTGAGACATAAAATGATACTTGTGAAGAGTGTGCTTCTTGGCTCAAGTGGACACATGAGACTAAATGGGCAGCTTCTGTCCGGAGGCAAGATGAGAAGGCAGAGAGGGTCAGGAGCTGGTTGAATGGACGTGGGAAATCAGGGGTGGAAAGGAGCAGTGGGCTGTCACAGTACAGGGAGAGCAACTGGGGTCACACAACAGTGTGTGTATAAGTTTCTGTATGAGAGACTAGCTTGAAATGTAAATTTTCACTTAAACTACAACAATAAACAAAAAGAGAGAGAGAGAAACGAGCTATGGCTGCTAGCCAAAAGGTCGGCAGTTCGAATCCACCAGGTGCTCCTTGGAAACACTATGGGGCAGTTCTACTCTGTCCTGTAGGGTCGCTATGAGTCAGAATCGACTTGATGGCAATAGGTTTGGTTTCTGGGGGGATAGTGCCCTCCCACACTGAAAGAGGCTGATGGTGTAACCAGTAGAACATAGTGGGAATGACCTCTAAGCCTAGGTCATAAGAGACACTGCAGCTTCTGCCTGGCTGTCTCAGATTGCCCGCCGCCATGTTGTGAGGCCACCCAAGCAGCTCTGTGGAGAGGCCCACTTCAGGAGGAACTGAGTCCTTCCACCAGCAACCAACATCAATGCGTAGGGCATGTGTGTGAGTCATTTTGCAAGCAGATCCTCCAGTCCCATCAAGCCTCAGAAAGTGCTGGCCCAGCCAATAGCTAGACCATAGTCTTACAAGAGACCCCAGGCCTGAGCCACCCAGCCAAGCTGCTCCCAGCTGTAAGGTAACAAGCGTGTGAGATGATGAAGTTTCACTGTTGTTTTCAGCCGTTCAGATTTTGGTAGTTTTTTAATACAGCAGTAGATAACTAATACACTTACATTGTCCCTCCTTCATTCAGCACATCTCTCTCAAACCGAAGTCAACATCCTGTTGGGAGGGGCCACTCAAATCAGGAAGTTGTCTGGGTACACCATGAATAATCACAGCAGTAGCCTTTATACACACAAACATCAAGGTATAAGACAGAATGGAAGAAAAGAGCCCATAAATAATAGCAGCAACAAAAGACCTAGGAATAAACTTAGCAAGAAATATGCAAAGACAACTTTGAAGTGCTCCTGAGAGACACAACAGAGCACTATAAAAAAATGGATGAAATACCATGTTCTTGGGTAGGGAGACTTAACGTTACATAAAGATGTCAATTCTTCCTAAATTTATCCATGAGCTTAATGCAGTCCTGAGAACAATACTAAGAGGAAGGGGTTGGGGGGTGGGGGTGGGGGGAGATAGGCTGATTTTACGGTTCATATATAAAAGCTTAGCAAACGATTAAGAATGGGCAGGAAATTTAAAAAATAATAATAAAGATACTTATCCTACCAAATATTAAAACACATTTGTAAAGCTGCTAAAATGAAAGAGTGTGGTCTGGGGCATGAGGGTAGCCAGGTCAACAGGACGGAATGGAGAGTCCAAACAGAGGCTGAAGTACACACAGGGGTTTGGTAGACGGCAAAGGTGGTGTTTCAGACCACAGGAAGGATGGATTGCTCAACAGTCTTCGTGACAAACATCGGGTAGCATCTTGAAGTGACAATGGTAGGGAGGGAGAATACCTACCCAACACCTTAACCCAAACAGCAACAGCAGAAGGATCAAAGATTTAAACAGAAAAAAAATGAAAAGGTGCTAGAAGCAAACAAGGTAGTTTTCTGGTTTTGTTTTGTTAAGTAATCCTGGAGCTGGGAATGCCTTTCCCGGTGACACCGGCCCTGGGAGCAGGGCCGTGCCCAGGCCGCCCTGCACAGCGAGCCAAGGGCCTCCTCTCCCTGCTCTTTACCGCCGCAATGTGCGGTCGGCCACGGTGGGAATATTTACACCGTGGAAATCGATAAACACTGGGAATTGGGGCCTGTTTTTTATTTTCCCCCCAAGAGAGCCACTCGTTAAACATTTACCAGCACGGCACTGCCTCAAAAAAATAAAAGGTCGATAAATTCAACCTCGCAAAAATAACAGCTTGTGTATGGGAAGCAGAACAAAACCAGCATCAATAGAGTCAAAAGCCAAGTACAAATTGTGGAAAAAAAAAAAGATCTGCAACTCATATCACATCTAAAGGTCTAATTTCTTTAATATATATTTAGGAAAAAAAAAAAAAGCCCCAGAAAGGCTGAGGCCCCACCGCAGGTTGGGGGAGACTAAGGAGGCGTAAGGCCCGCATACGGAGGGGGCGTCTAGGGGAAGGAAGGTGGACTCGTGTATGTGCACGTGCCTGTATATGCAATGAAGCAGACGGGACACAGTGTAAACAAAGGGTATGTAGAGTGCTTTGCATTATTTTTGTAACTTTTGTGTCAGTTTGTTTGAAATATCAAATGAAAAAGTGACCAGCATTTCTGCCCCTCGCACCCTCAGCTTCCATCTTGCCCCACAGGCCTGTCCCTCCTCGAAGGTTTCCAAAGTCCCCAGTGGATACAGCACAGCACCGCCGGCCAGACCTTGCCCTCCACCCCTTCCTCGCTGGCTGGAAACACCCCCTCTCCAGTGTCACTGCTGGACTCAGAGGTCCCCAGAGCCTGGGGGGGAAGGGGACAGGCCTCAGTTTACCTGTGATGGTGGGTTTCATCCTCTTAGCTGGGTCCTAGCAGCCTCTGGTAATACCTCAAATGGGCACCAGGGACACGCTTGCCTCAGCCAGAAGGTCACACCCTGCCCCAGAGAGAAGAGGTGGGGTGTGTAAGGTAAGTGGGAGGGGATCCCAGATATCATCAGCATCCCAGATGGATCCCAGCCTCAGATTCAGGGGGACGCAGCAATGAGGACTCCTTGGAATCACCCATCCCCATGGGGGAAGGGGGAGAAGGGACCCGGGTGGGGGGAATCTGACCTTGCTCTGGGAGGCTCTGTGCCCCACCCGGGGGTCTCCCTGCCACCCTCACCCTATCCCGTCCCCTTAGCATCTCTGCACTGTGAGTCTTACCGTTACCCTTGTCCCTCCCACGACCACCACCACTGCCCCCAGACTCTCTGGACTCTGCCTGGAGCCCTCAGACCAGGCCCTGAGCTGGAAGCCGCCTGGTCCCACGTGGCTGATGAAGATGATGGTGGTGAAGATCTAAGTGACAAATGGCCCCTGCACCACCCAGACAACCCGGGCTTGATCAGGCCCCTCCGGAGGTCCCCTGGGGGAGTAATAAGTCAGTGCCCACGGCCTCCTCTGTGGCCCTCTCACCCTGTCACTCTGCCCCCCATCCCCCGCTGTGGGTATGTCCAGATAGGTGGAGGGCCCCGCTCAGGCTAGAAGGGCCAGAAGCCTCCGCTCCTGTTGCCAGAGGCTCAAGTCCACACTCCTGACCACTGGGCCTTGCGTGCAGCCCGCCTGCCACTCCCAGGGGACGCCCACCCTATCCCCAGGCCCAGCTCCCCCCCACCCTGGGGTCCTCCACCCGCACCAGCTGACACCCTGTGCCTCCAGGCCCTGCTGCTGTAAAAAGTAGTGGCTGAGGTAATAAGAAAATGCATAATGATGGACATTTTCTCCTTGGTAGGCGCTGGGGCTGGCTGGGGAGATGCCGGAAGTTCTCCTCCTCACAAAACATGTGGAATGTTGGAAGAAAAGTAACAGCAGATGTCAGAGTGGACAGAGGGGGCAGCAGAGAGTCCAGACCCACACTATCTGGTCAGCTGGTGCTCTGAAGAGAGCGCCAGGGCAGGGAGAGAACAGTCTTTTCAGCAAATGGTGAAGAAACAACTGAATAAACATATGGAGATGGGGTAAGTCACAACCCCTACCTCAC